CATCACATTTTCACATATACTCGACTCTGAATTGAGGTATTTCGCTTTCATCAATAGCTTTGTTGTCATAGAAGTACCACCATTGCACAAATATAACGCTTAAATATTGTAACCCGGATTTGTTTTTTCTCAATCGATTTATGAATTTCGAACAGCGGTATACTACTGTTGCCTTTATGTGAGCTTTAACACGTCATTACGAAAGTTCTCATATAATATGTAAACGGTATTGTCGTCGTTATACTTTGACCTTCTGAAGTTTGTTCGAATTGTTGGAGGATGCCATGCCGCATCTAAGTTTGGCCTGGTTGTATTTACTAAACAAACACATCAAATGGACAGAGGGCTTCTTACTTATTTAGTGAGAATTGTTTTATATGATTTGCCTATAAATGCAGTATTACTTATTCTACTTGTAATAATGTTTAAATTTTCTTTTCAACCATACCTTACATTTTGGATAGTTGGTGAGAATCAGTGTTTCATAAATATTTTCTGCTTTTTTGTAAACTTTATTTTAATTTAAGGCATGTCATAAGTGGAATAAAGCAACGAAGAGAGAAACAGTTTCAATTTATTTTACACTTTAACATATTAAAAGGTATTAAAAAAAGTATTCAGTGTGCTAAATAATTGTTTTTCTCAACCGTTGCTTTGTTCGTTTGAATTGTCTTAATTTAGACTGTATTTTGCAATAGTTATCGTAAATGTTTAGCATGAAAAATGTATCATATCATAAGCACACATATACAATGAAATATCTTATTCGTAGGTCTGCATGAATCAGTTCATATCATATTGGTGAAATAGGTAAATAAATCGATACATTTCATTTTATTCATAATTTGTATTTGTATTTTTGTAGAGTTTCTTTCTGAACGTATAAATGAAAATATATTTTTATTGTAAATTGTGTAAGAGTGATGAAATTTTTTATCTAATATTCTAAGGCCATGTTGAATAAATGTGCGTGTATTTTTATCTAATTACAGAATATGATTTAAATTATTCCAGACAAAAGGGGACACTATTCGAATGCTTGCGATATATGCATTTTAGTAATAATACATATCCAAATATTTCTGCAACATTGATGATACTTCGTCCAATTCCTACAGTTCTGATGCCTGTAGTAAGAACTCAATATTTAATCTCGCTATCTTTTAACTAATTGGAAATTCTTTACTTTTTAAGTTTGTTCATTAAGAGAGACCAGTAACAATATTGGCAAATATTGAATTTTCCTTTTTAATAAAGAGAATAAAAAGAAATATCTGATACTATATTATAATATGGTATATTTATCACAAAATTATTAATGAGCATCCATTTCAATTTAAAATTTAAGTGTACCTTTCAATTATAAAGATATAGGTAGTTATATAGATAGCAAACTTGTTCTGGTGATAGTGGAAGCGTCTGTTATAAAACCCTAGGTGGCGACCAGGATCTGATTTTTATTTAATAAGGTTGATAATTGTGTTTATTAGACTCATTAATAAATGTCAATCGCAGCTAACTAAATAGGTTAATTGGCATATAAAGCTGTTGAGAGATAATGATTAAGCGTTTTTAAGACTATGATTTTCATCTTAGGAAAATTTGTCGTCATTCAGACAGTCCATGTTTGGTTAATCGCAACTCTACGTCAATAACTGTAATCTATTTTAGTGCACAGACCATACAAGATGCAGTAATGCTGAAATTGATATTTTCAATTAAGGTTTAATGTTTTAGTTGAGTCGTTTGAACCCATTTCTCAAAGGAGTCTGCCGGCAGAAAGCCCTATACTTCTAAAGATTACGCTAAGTTCCATGTTGCAGCTTTCAGTGCTTTTACATTTCTATAAGTGAGAGACAATTTATAGAATGTTTATTCATTCTATGCGATCTGAATTATCATACTACTAGTAGTGTGCATAATACAGCTTCGGTATCTGAATGTACATCTTCAAGTTAAATTAGCTGATTGACATTAATACTTTTGTAATTTGATATAAGTTCAAATATTTTTCTTCGTTAGTTAAACGGATAATTCCAGATATGGAATTTTACTGGTATTAAACGAACCTGGTTTTATTGAAAGAAACACAACTCCTACTGAATCGATACAGAAGTATCATGCCGGCGGCGAAGAATCTTATCGATTTTATAGTTAAATCCACTCCGACCTACTAATTTCCGTTGCTTTCATATTTTATTTTATACTTTTGATGTTTCTGTTACATTCCTCATCATCAAACAGTTTAAGAGAAGTGAAGGTAGAAGACTCTTATTTATATGTATGTGGCAAAATGTAATCATGGGAAACAATAAACAATAAATACATACTTACAAATGAATGAGATCACCTGTTAAACACAATTTTATTGTTGTCAGCTTTTAAATTTCTGATTACTTTAACACCGTAGGTTCTAAGTATCACTTTACTTACAATAACCTGTAAACAGTTTGCGCGTTTGTGGAAAATTTTACTCGTGTTGGACATATCATCGTACTCTACCGTATGTACCTACAAAATACAACGTTTCTGCTTGTCTAATTTATTGCTCAATATAAAACAGAAACAAATATTATGGCAGTTACCAGCTCCATAATAAACACGATAGAAGAAAACATGGTGGTCGAAATTTATCAAGTTTTCTAAGGAACTGAACAAGTAATAAGTGCTATTGGAATTTGGAATATAGCATAAACAAGGTGTAAATAATTAACTAGGTGGCATTGCCACATCGAGACTGTAACATAAAGGAATAGGGAAAAATATGTCGCGCAGAATATATTATAATTATTACTAAACCAGCAATATTTGAAATTAAATTGACCATATAATACAATATATTTCTCATATGCAAAATCTTTATTGTTTAACCTTTTTATGATAGGCTACAAAAATTCTGTCTTTTGGGTGTACAGCAAACACAGAGTAACTACAAAATTATGCAAAGCAATCATGATAGCTCATAAAAGGTCTTCTTTATGATTGAGAAATAATACAGTTCTATCATGAATGAGTAAGACCACAATACCCCCTTGGCGACGAATTTTTCTTGTGAGGAGCATAAAATATTACTATTTTTCTATTTTAACATCACTGTCACATCATACTTATCATTACCAACTGACTATAATCTACATTACTAAAATTTTATAAAATTAATAATTGATCTTATTTCCCTTGAGTAAACCCGCCATTTTATAAACATAATACTTAATATCAGGACCATTTTCTGGTCTTTTGTTTATATATAATCTGTTCAGGTTTTTGTGAAAACCATTATCATATACATGTATTATCATTAAAATGAAGGCTTCAGTTGAGATACTAAACATGTCACAAGACTAACTCATAGGTGTTCATTATCAATTTGACATAAAAAAAGCTACATTCGTAGTGGAAATCAATGGATTTTAATGACAATTAATTGGCTTAAATCTGTTACATTGGTGTGAAATATGGGGGTAATACATGATAAGGTATTGGATACAGGTAAGTCACTTTCCAGTTATTTTATATAAGTATGATAACAATTTGAAAGAATTTGCAAAGCAAACTTATTTTTAATGTTTTGTAATGATGCTCTTATTGTACAAATGCCGCTTTTCGCATGAGAAATTACAATAGTCATATGGTATTGTTGTATGTTAAATTCATATTTCATCTTAGGTTTTTTTTATCACAAAATTTTAACACATTATATACTTTATAAGTCGCTGCTTGTCATGTGGTATTGTTGTATGTAATATTTCAATTTTTACCTTTTATTGAATGATATTGCTTTTTATTTGCTTAAGAATGTTTATTTGTATGAATATTTTAAAGCAGATTTTTTTTTCAATGTATTTCTATAATTATTATTTTATTTATTTTTTTGGGGGGCAAAAAATGTGTATTCGTATTTTGAAGTTTCTAGATTTATATTTCATCTCATTTTTTTTTATCACAAATGTTAACCCATTATAAATACTTTATAAGTCGCTGCTTGTTCCTAGACCTTTCGTGAATTGACCATTTCGATCTATATGCTAGTATTGTTTATTATTATCATTATTATTATATCAGCCACTGTTTTGTATAAAGGGAAAGCCCGAAATTAAGTCAAAGGGCAATACTTTATTACGAGGGATAGCAATGCATGATTTATTCATTTCTTGAAACTTCATTGAAAATTATTTATGGTTTATCTGATTAAAAATCGCAATGTATTGTTTTAATTTCTACTTTGTATCTGTGGAAGTATTCTTACTTAAGAACAAATATACAACTTTTCTTTCCGAAAATTTGCAATACTTACAACTAGTCCTTTAGTTATATTGTTTGATCTGTGCAGATTATTATACGATATATTGATACTGTAAAATATCAGCTGCAAATCGCAATATGAAGTTTTTTGTCGATTGTTTCGAGCAGATGAAATTTTGCAATATCGATATGCTTGTTGAAAAAATGATAATCGGATTGTATTTAAGGGATTTTAATGATAAACACAATAGTTGTTTTCTTTGTTATACATGATAACTAGAACACGAACAAATATATTTGACATCATCACAATGCCGTGATGTGCAATTTTATGAAGAGCCGAACATAGTGATGAAGCCACTGTAAAGTCCGATGCATGCATCTATCGTTAAGATATAATACAAGTTAAAAAATTTCAAATTTATTGGTGTCATACTAAGAAATATTAATAAATTATCGGATCTAGCGTTAATGGTGTATGTATATATACAAATTTGATACGTCATGCATTGTTTACTTCTTTACATCATTCTATCAAATGACGTTAAAACTAATGGAACCATTATTAAACTTTATGATTGTGAAACATTATAATTGTATGTAAAAGATTGAAAACACCAGTCTCTCTTTATGTTTTTTTTTGTTGATATCATTAGTACTGTTTGCATAATTTTTAAGGCCATGGCATGCATATTTTCTTTTACTGCTAACGAATTATAATAGTCGTCGTCAGTTAAAGATTTTCTTCTTACTTTCAGATAACGAGTTTGACGAACTCGAACTTCAAGTCGTCCGATATAAACCAGAAGGTTTGGACACCCTATGCAGGAATACGAAGTTTTCAAGAAAAGAATTACAAATAATGTACAGAGGTTTTAAACAAGTAAGTAATACTACTAAGATAAAGGGAAAATTTGCAATTCATGGCCATTTGCTCCCTTAAGGTAGGCCATTAGTTTACCAATTTACAAATCTCGAGAATCCATTAATAATTTACAAATCAAGGTACCAAACACAAACTGAGGGAATCGCATAAACTCCAAAAGGAGCGAAATCTGCTACTTGAACAGGATGATAGGCTTCTTCTGCTGAGCATGAAGTTTCAAAATTCTAATCCGCACTCTGTCAAAATGTCACAATTGGGAATAGGACATACAAGTAATCGGTAAATAATGATCGGACGACATTTCTGGTATATATATATCGAAGAGCTCGAAAACATTTCGGTAGTGAGTTAAGACACAGACACATGGTACAGGTAAACCAATCGTGATAGTGACCGTGAAAGTAATGTAGTGTCGATATCAGTCGTATAATCTCATATCTCTGTTTGGACAGTTTGTGTGTAAGGAGTACACCCCTGTTAATGAAGTCCGTATAGTGTGAACATGCACGAGCGTAATGTAATGATTGAGATATATATTCACCATACATAGGGGTACAGAATGTGTTACAATGAAGCTTCTATTCTAAGGCGTGTGTAAATTATTACGCTGAAATTATAATAGTTAAACATTAATTATAAAAAGGTAATAACTTTTTCGAAGTATAATAATAAAAAAGAGAGGGGTAATAATCCAAAGACTTATTATGTTTCAAGTACAATGAAGTGTACGATTGAAAATTCTACTTGCAAGTCCGTAGTAACTTGCACCATTAGATTAGCATGATACACACACGTGGTAGAAGAGAAAATCAATCAGACTGTTTAATTAAGTGTCAAACATTTGATGTAACAGCAAATAATGAAGACAGCAATATCGATAAAGTATGAAAATAAACAAGTTACTGATAGATACACTATTATTAATAATGATTGCAATTTAAAAAGGTTAATTATTAAGTACATAAATGTAACTACTGCGATGTTTATTTTCTTCTGTTACTGTAACCACGCCCTTTAAATCTTGACATTTTTAAAACTTTTGCAATAATAGCATGCTAGTTAAATGTAGCTTAATAATGAAAATTCGAAATCAAATAATATACATGGTAGAAATTTAATGATGTAGATCTTTTCCTCAAAATAAATGTAAGATTTCTAATTTCGAAACACGCCATTATGTATTTTCCGTTTATATACTCCGAGACAGGTTTTAAAGAGCAAATTTAGGATATTCGAAGTCTGAAATACATTAAAAAAAAAGACATAAACTTTTCTTACAATTGAAACCAAACATACACCGTAGTAGTTAGAAACCACTATCATGTTAGAAAATTAAAATTTCTAGTGCATACAAAGTACATTTTATACTAAATAAGAAGATATTTTGAACATCAATAATCTACTGTCGCCTTAATTAACAATGTAAGTATAAATTTCATTAGTCCTAGTATCACTAAATAGAAGAGTACAGAAGTTGGAATCGAATGACCTCCAAACAGATTTGGACTATACAGCTGTCTAATTCATGTATATTCCATATCTTTCATACTAGAGGTGAATGGAGATTCCTCGACGAAACTTTCATCGTCAAGATACTCACTGTATGTACCATTGCCATGCAATTTGTACTGTTCACTATGTATCTATTCCAGATCATTTCAGTCATTTCTTAGTAGATTAGAAATTAATTGAATGCAAAGTAACTTTTTTTTTAAAGTAATGCGTTTCCCTTCAAATGCCTGGAAATATGACTATGGACTTTTGTTTCTTACAAATTAAAAACCTCTGTTCGTTTTATTCGATATGCCAGAAAATATTTTATTTTGACTTTTTGTGTGAATTTTTAAAGTTATGAACTAAACTCAAGTAAATAAGCGTGAAATATTTAAAACAAAACTGAAGACTTTAGGTTTTCCTATTCAGAGATTTCAGATAGCTTCAAGACCAATTTACAGTTTCAGTAATCAAAATGTTATCTAGTGTATGTGTCTTTGTCAAATAATACGCTTAGCAAAGATAATGTTTTAATTAATAATGTATTTCAATTACAGGAATGTCCTACGGGGATTGTAAGCGAAGAAACGTTCAAAGAAATTTATGCTCAGTTCTTTCCACAAGGAGGTATGCTTTGTATTTCAGATTTTTTTCTCTCTAAAATAATGCCCAGAAATCGTCTCTCATGTCTTTGCCCAATTAGTTCATTCGTCTGGTCATATGTTTATAGAACGGCTGGATCCAATCTTTCTTGTTTGAGATGAACTGTTTGCGGCAATATCATGGTTTGTTTTGGTGGTGTTGTCATCTTCGTTCGACAAAACAGTTTCTATGACTAACCTCTTGTTTTAGTTGATCATTATTATAAAGGTTCTAATTATTGTTTTTCTTTTTGTATTCGCATGTGTTTGTCGTCAGAGCGACATGTCGTAGCTAAAGAGAGGCGGAAGATGTTCAGTAGATATGATTTACTTTCGAACAATAATAAGACTTAAACGCCGAATGTCACTGATTGAGCCACACCTGATCCCTCCCGGGCACATTTTCTCATCCCAATTTTTGATGGGTTTCATTTGTTCAATCTTTTTTATGTATAGAGTTTTGTTGACTGTTGTTTTCTTTTTTTTTTTTTTTTTTATTTACGGTTTTTTGTTACGTCCGTGTTATCTTCTCCCCTTTGTTACAATAAAACATATGATACATTAAGTTTATACGAACATTTCTGTATTAGTTAAGTCCAAACATTTCAACAAAAAAGAAAAAAAATCACTAAAAGCAGAAAGCAACAAACAAAACCAGAGAAAATCAACAGATATTAAAGGAGGATAATAAAAAAATATTTTAACGATACTTTATTCCTACAGTGTCTTCCATATTCGGTAATGATTTATAGAAAAAAACATCTAGCTATTCTGTTTTTAAACTAATTGAATATTGTTGTAATAGGAAACATCAATATATGTCAAATTCCGTTCAAATGAATATTTTTGTATTTGTTTCATATATTGTTTAGATTCCAGTTCATATGCACACTATGTTTTTAATACATTTGATCATGATCGGAGCGGAACTATTAGTTTTGAGGTAAGTACATTTTTAATTAAAAATTTTAAAAATTGTACAACAAAAATATAAGTACCTGGAGTTGAACTTAAAACAAAATGCGCAGGATAACACATGTGTTATAAATTTTATGAAATTCGTGATGTGTGAAAGAGACCAAGAATAATTATTAATACATCATAATTGGTTTATTGTGGTAATATGTTAGCGAACAACGGGATGTTGACTGTAAACACACACTTCGGGACCGAAGAATGTGGATGCAGATTATCTTTATCCATTATTACAATTTGAAATGCAATATGACACTTTTTTGTTTATACCAGATTGATTGTCACTTAGAAACAAATTAAGGTTTAACTTTCAATGATAAATAATTTACATATAAGTATGCATATATTTATAGTTGCAGTTTGTTTTAAATATACAGATAATCGAAAAACAATATCCATCATCGAATTTAAGAATGCATTTTCTGCACTCATTAACACAAATATATTGTATTTATTAACTAATGATGCATGGTCGATTTTAATACTTTTGACTGTCGTAATTACTAAAACATCTAACTTTCATCTTCTTTCAGGAGTTTGTGATAGGTCTGTCTGTGTTATCACGAGGTTCATTACAAGAAAGGCTACAATGGGCTTTCGGTTTGTATGACATAAACGGGGATGGTCTTATTACACGAGAAGAAATGTTAGATATAGTTTCTGCTATTTATGATATGATGGGGCGTTTTTCTGAACCCTCCGTAGACGAAAACACCACCAAAGATCATGTTGAAAAAGTCTTTCAGGTAAATACAAATTACCCGTAACTCCTTAACATAAATAATATGGATTGAAAAAATACGAATTGAACCAATGTAAACCCAACTAAATTTACCAAAGTACCAAATGTATGATTAAAATGAGACGTGGGTATATGTATAAATATATTGGTCATTGCAATCATGAATATTTGCACATAAACATATCTACCGAGCGTCCTTATACAACGGGCATTAAGGATGTGCGCTCCTGTGTTTCAAAATAACAAGCCTTTTAAAAGACTGTTATGAATTGATAGTATATAAATAACGGAACTAAAAAAGCAAAAAAAAAAAGTATTGATCTGTATCCTTGTTTTTGAGATATAATCAATTGAAAAGTTGGCGGAAAATGATTCTCTCTAGATTTTTTATACATTTAATATTGGCACCTTTTTTCTCTAAAAAACATTTTCAAAAATGCCTTTCAAACTTTTTGTAATAAAAATATGGAAAGAAAAGTAGGGGTTAGCGGGCAAAATTTGTATTGGCACTATACATAGATAAAACTAGGGGATTCCGAACATCTGACAAAAAGTCAAAAACAAGAGTAGCGAACATCCTTAATTTGCGACTTAAATGTACGTAAAAATTAGAAGTCAAATTCTTCAAATTGTACTTACTTTTAGAAGAAAGTAATGGATGCACAGAGCTGAATTTACGAATTATTATTTCTTTACATCTTAGGTTGATGTGAGGCGGTTTACAGCAAAAGATACGATAACGTTTTTATCAATAATTTAGTTCGTTTTTTGAACCAACATAAATTTGGATAATTTTTTTTGTTGGCTTTACATCGAATAGTCTTTTACCCGCAAGCGTTTGAAGTCGTCATTCAAAATAGAGATACATTTATCAGTTGGTGCTTTCATTCTGCACACGGCTATGAAGATGAAATTTAACTAATTAACGTCTTAAAGGGGGATCTGTAGTGTAACGTAATTGTTATCTTCTCAGTTCAATAAATATGCGTTTAACATTAGGTAAGAGTTTGATAAAATGTTTTTTCTTTGACATTTATTGATAAGCATTATTTTAACTCTCCTTCCACCAGACACAATTACATTTTATGATACATGTTATTTTCAAGGTCCCCGGTTGCATGATCTTATATACACTGATGCTTTCAAAAAGTTCAAAGCCAATAATTGCTGTGAAGTGTAAGATATTATCTGAGCTAACATTTTGGTTACTATGGATTCAATATTATTCGTTGGATACCAATTTTCGTGGATTTCGTGGTTACAGGTGAACCACGAAATTAAATGTTCAACGAATACCAAATTTTCTAAAGGCTTGTATGTAGACTTTGGCAAAACCACGAAATTAAATATCCTCGAACATGCAAGTTTTCCTTAATCCATGAAAATTGGTACCCACGAAAATAAATGAATCCACAGTATAGAGGAAAATTGTAGATCTAGGAAAATGAAAACATAAACGAAACTAGTAAACTTAGAAGATAATTTAAACGGCATATGTTATTAAGTAATTAATTCTTCAAAAATTTTCTCATATTGTATGTAATTTTATGTTTTAGGTAAAAAGATATGATTGTTACAATTATATTGTTAAACAATATAAAAAGTTATCAAAACTTATCTTTATTCTTTAGAAAATGGACCTAAATAAAGACGGGGTAATATCATTAGAGGAATTCATGGAAACCTGTAGACGCGTAAGTTCCTTTAACAAGCTGTTAGTCATAACATGAGAACTGACTGTGTACCGGGACAAAATGTTCATGATTTCATATTTTAAAAAAGTAATTAAAGGTGCAAGTTTTATGACAACAACGCCGTTATTCAGCAAAAAAAAAGAAATTCAAAATGTAAAAGTAACCGTATTTCCATTGACTGTATGTCCCACTTTCAAAACATTTCCTAATTTCCTGAAACAAAATAAAGATTTGAACATTTCAACACAGTCATCAATTACTGCAGTAACATGAGTCGCACGTACTAAAATGGGGATCATTTATTTGTATTACGACCATTAGGTCGTCACTACTGATTGATGCTAGATTACTGTTATTCCCAAATAAAATAAGTATTCTTAAATCTTTCGAATTATGTTATTGGAGCAATGAAGTATTAAATTAGGCAAACAGTTTTACTTTACTAGGTTCTTTTTGTCAGCTTCGGTCAGCAAAGGAAACTTTTAGGATTTTATTGACACAGAAGTGACTTTATATACCCAATTTCTTTCAGACAGCTTCATGCATACCCGTAAATCAAGACGTTTTATTGTAAGAATATTAACATTGACAGGAGAAAAATTATGATTCCATTGTACATTACATAATTAATACTGATATAACTAAAACATCCCTATACGATAAAACATAAAGTCAAATTTCAATTGTTTGGAAGTAAATCAAAGGGAAAGAACGCAAAGTAAATGAATATTGAACATAAACAATAAACATATGTGCAGCATTTGCCAGCATTACTATTATAAAAACACAATTTTTTTCTTTGTGTTTTTTAAGTTCAATACAATTTATACGTGATGTATTCTATTTTGTAGGATGAAAACATAATAAAAGGAATGGCTATATTTGATACAGTTTTGTAGTACATTGAAGAATTCGATTATTCCACAGTAAGACTTTCATTCATGTGATCCGCATTGTGAGGTGTGAACGTGTTATCACATTCCAGTTTGTCTGTATAATGTGTATTAAACGTTGGTACACAGATATTGTAACGTCAAGCATGTGATTGATACGGACGAAAGACCACATTTTGTGTTTTTGTAAATGTGTTCCGAAATATCATTGTATGATCGCATTTATTTCAATGAGAGCAAATCATATGAAATTGATTTAGAGTCAGACTTACTGGCTATTTTTCAATTCCATGTTCAGAATCCACTTTCCAAAGAAGTTATGTAAGATCAAAAATTAAATCAAAGATCATTTTATATTGATCGAATTTGATAATTCCTTTCCATTTTTTCTTAAAAGGATTGGTTTTTTTAAGAATAGTCTCTTTTTTAAATGCAAGTAAATTTTAGAATTTAATCGTGCAACCATTTTAAGTAATATATCAGTGTAGAGTATAATTGATACAGGTTATGATGTATCATTTTATTTAATTTTGTATACTTCACTCAACACTTATGTATAGTTTGACATGCACAAACAGTTCTTTTATTTTGGATGTGTACTGAATACTTGACTTGTGTCTATAATGGGTTCTCACTATAAATTCAAAATGCAGTCTAGAATCTTTATTTGACAGAAGAGTCAAATTACAATGTATTCCCAATAGATGATGAAGCATTTATTAATCTGGAGTCTGTCGTACGTTTGCCCAATGAAAACCGCATTGTACTTAGTTTCATGTCAATATTCGCCCTTTTTATTCCCAAAAAGAATAGTATCAGATTTTATAATCAGACATACGGGGTAAGGTCAGTTTTCCTTTTTTCTTTAGAAAAGAAAAATGTCCGTTTTTCAGTAGATTTTGTTGTGTTATTAAATTGTGATATTCTATTTATCAGTGAACACCATAAGCACATTGTATATGACTTTATACCTTTGCGTGTATAATTTTACAAGATTATTATCTTGTTAATAATAAATCTACTAAAAAGTAAACTGTTTTTCATATCTAATATATTGAAATATCTAAGTGGTGTATATGCATATAAGGAGATATAATGTTTACGTCAATAAGACGACAACCTAGCGACAAAAATAACGGAAAGACATCTAGAGTCAACATGGAGTATTCCACAATATACAGGTGTTTAAACAATATGTATAACTCTGAACTGTCCCGAGTTAAAAGAAAGTTGTGAATTAATTTAATGTTCTATCAAAGATCTGCTTACAAACCAAATTCCTTAACTAACATACATATTAAGATATGACAGAAGACTTATGTAATAGAAAAACAAAGGAAATGAGGCATCCGTTCATGACACAAAATCAGCACATGCAAAGCAAAAGGAAAAACGCATAAAAAAGCATTTACGTCTACATTGAGCGAGAAAAAAGTTTAGATATTCAGACTGTTCTCACTCTTAAACTGTTTTCGTTTTTTTTTTTAGAAATAATAAAATAAAACACACGCATATCTGTTTTACCGTTTGACTGATTTGGGCTGTTTCCTGTTCGTTGTTATCTCAGTGACACATTCTTCGTTTCCATTCTCAATTACATTAACTAATTAACGAATCCCTAAAAAAACCGTTTATGACGTATGTGTCTATATTAAGAGAAACAAATATTGTAAAATAGAGAATGGAAATGGGGAATGTGTCAAAGAGACAACATCCCGATCAAAGAGTAAAAACACAGCCGAAGGCCACCAATGGGTCTTTAACACAGCGAGAAAATCCCGCACCCAGAGGCGGATCTCAGCTGGCACCTAAACAAAAATGTGTTCTATTTCCGTGAAAATGGACGTCACACTAAACTCCTAAACATATAAATGAACTAAAATTAAAAAAACATATAAGACTAACAAAGTCCAGAGGATCCTGACTTGGTACTAGCCAATGTAGATTAAACAAACACACAGCAATACGTACAGAAACTCAGTTTAAAAGAAGTCCGAGTCCGATGTCAGAATAGGTAAGAAAAGAAACTAATGACAATTGTAACTGTTTTCACTTTTATCTTTTTTAGCTCACCTGTTTTTGTCTAAAATTGAGGTGGCCGAAATCATGTTCAGTCTGAACCTGTATATATGTTATGAATCATCATCAAATACAACATATATTTAGATATTAAGACTGAACACAAATGCGGCCACTTTCATTTTAGACAAAAACCGTCTAAAAATAAGCACAAAAAAATAAACGGACATTTTTGAAAGGTTTGTTTTAAATGTCAAATGTCGAAAAGGGATGAGAAGACACCAAAAAGCCACAATCGAAGTCAATAAGTCGAAGAAAAACACACATTATCATGCATAAAATAATAATGTCGAAAAGTACAAACATAATTCGACAAGATTATATACAGAAAACTTAAAATTGAGCAATACGGTTCCTACAAAAAACTGGAGTGAACTTAATTGTTTTTGAATGGTAGGAGTTCCTACTCTATCTGTGTCAACCTCCGTATTACTAATGGCAAGTAAAAATGTCGCATTCAGTGACGTCAAAATCGAGTGACATAAGGTGTTCTAAAAAGCTTATTATTATAATTGACGTAAGTACATCGTATTGCATCCTTTGCCATGGAATATTTAGCAAATTTAAAAGCAAGTATTTCATTTGCCCTTAATTGTATATTTTTTAAATGATAGGGTTTTACAATATAGATGTTAGGGTATATGTCAATGAGACGAAGACCAAACAACATACAGTTATATCAATATACTAGTATATCTAACAGATTAAATTGCAGAGGAAAAGGTGGTCATTCTTAAAGCCTAAAAATCCCTGTAGAAATTCAAATAGAAACCATTAACTGTGAAAACAAATCTATATTTTAGTTCTCCTTATTGCATTTCAGAGTAATCCCTCTTTCCTTATCAATTGTACTTAACTGGCATGTCACAATATACAATACATCCTGGGATCGAAACAATCATTGTAAATACAACAAAATAACTAAACACATAAAAAGTTACTTTAATAAATGACTGCAAATATATAATATCAATTAAACAAAAAAACGAACAAATGGTCCTTTTTGGAAGAATTATTAAACTGTATTAACGAACGTCATATGTTGAAAAATGGTATTAAAAAACTTACAAACAACTATTTTAACTAACATGGAGAATAATGAATAGGTTTATTCATTTAAAATGATACATAAGGAAAATATGAGGTTCGAAATATTGGTTGTATCTGAATAAAACTTCAACAGGAACGCTCTTTGGCTAAATATGTTTAAAGTCAAAGAAAAACACAATATTCTAGCAACAAACCTGCAGAGTTATAAAGGGAAAAGCCAGCATGTATCAACTTTGCAGAAGTAGTTTTGAATTTTAAAGAAGTAAAGTAACAGAATATTGAACAACATATTGAATGAGATGAGGGGTATTTTTCTTGGCAGCAAAATGGTTTTATACTCAATTCGGTATGACATAGAATCAATAGTAATTTACCAATGTTGAAATCTCGTGAATTCATGTCGATAATACAAATCAAAATAAAAAAAACTAATAACTGAGGAAATCGCATGAACTTTAAAAGGATGTGAGCGGGGGTTTGCCTTTCGGGTAAGCGTATCCCTCTATGCATGCATCACTCGCCATGCGAGTCTACACTCAGAAAAAGTTTCACAATAGGGAATACAACACAATCGGTAAAATTACAGATTAGGCGACTATTCTTTCTAAAAATCTATGGTCACGAAAGTATGTCCCCTTTTAGATGCACAACACATCGTTTCGCTCAACCAATTAGTGATGGTGACTCTTAAACTTATAAAGTGTCGATTTCAGTCATTCTTCCTCGTGAACCTACTGCAGCAGATTGGCGTAAGTAGCACCCTTGTTAATTCGGTCCTTAAAATGTGAACATGTACTCGCGTAACGTATCAATTAAGATATGTAAACGCCATACGATTGCTCAGAGGGTATGATGTTATTGCTGAGAAATGGGATGTTGAAATTGTCACGTGTGTTTATAAACGCTTTAAGGAAGATTCATGGTATACCGCCATCTTGAATTGTACAATCCCAGTACAAAATCGGTCTAGTTATTTGCCCAAATCTGCAAATTTGGAGACAGATTTGCAATTAATTGGTTAGACTGTTTATTTATATAAAGAAAACTTGGTGATTTATTGTATAACTCAAAATATTTAAACAAATATCAAATTTTGTGTTTTTAGAATCAATTTTTTCAAATAAGCTATTTAAGGGGAGATAACTTTTTAAGTAAAAAATATATACTGGACTGATAGGGAAATTTTTTATTTTTACTTGTAGCAAGAAAACAAGTAAGGTGACACCATTTTTTCTTTTGATTTTCTTAAAATATATTATAAAACCTATCTTCTCACAATTTATTTCAAAATTCTATTTCATAGATTTTATTTTATGCACACAAATGTGTTTTTTCATGAACAATCTAACCAAATTTATGCAATTTTCAACGACTCACAGCTTGGAAAATAGCACGGTGACCCATACTTTTTATTATATTTTTGAAAAAAGCATAGTAAAATCTTCATTTTGGCAAAGTATAAGAAAATTCTATCTCGAGAAATATATACCTATGATCTACCTTAAAAGGTATGAAAAATGGCACGCTCTTGGAATAATTATTCATCGTATAGAATGTTACTAACCGATAGTGTATACCTTCTGTCTAAGCAAATTTTCCCTTGTTTTTATATTTTTCAATCTGTCCGATTCTTAAATAAAGACAACGAGTATGATTGTTTGTCACGTCCTTATGTTATGTTGTTGTCCAATAGTCCATTGATATGTCATTTAGATGATTTAATAACACAATGATACATGATATAAATGCAGAACAAGTACGACTCATAACAATGCTTTTGGCATGAATATCTATAAAATAATTTAATAACTTGACTGTTATTTCAATTTAACATAAGTGATAATCTACGTAACATTTTTTTATGTCTTTCATTTTGTTTTAATTCGATAGAGTTGATAGCTTAAACGATCTTTGATTACTTTTCGGCTATGATCCATAAAAAACGTAATATTTTTTTCACATAAAAATACAATGAGAAAAATACACATCATAAATATACATTGTCGTCTTAAAGAATGAGTCATATCCCTTAAATCATTGGTTAATTGGCATTTCAATTTAAAGTGTTTACTTTTTTTCTTTATCAATTCTATACTGTGTGTAATAAAATACGACGTCTGGTCATGCTATGTTATTAAAATTGCCTTTATAACATAAACTTATTTTTGTTAAGTCAAACAGCAATTGATAATATTATCGTGTACGACATAAACCTGACAAATTCCACATTAATTATTATTTAAAGTTATCCCTAATATTGAATGTTCAAGGCTAAGGCCGTGTTCACACAAAACGTCGCGTACTGTAAACCTATTTACAATTAGTTTCATGTAATGAATACTGGTTTCTCAATAAATATGTTCTCATCTGTACATCGGTTTTTAATTACCTGTACATGAGAATTATTCACATCAATAAACTGCATATATACGTTATTTACATTTTCATTACATAGAATTGAATTAAAAATTTCTCTGTAAACTTTTGCGTCAGTAAGGTGTAATTGTTTGTTTATTATTAAAGTAATAAAAATGGTTTTGTCCAACGAAGATGAATGGTAAGTAACTTAAGAAAATCGTTCTATTGATTTGGAGAGCTTTGAAAGTTCAACAAAAAAAAGATTTTGAAAATGATTGATTGATTGGTTGTTTGTTTCTTGACGTCCAGTTGCAAATATTTCGTGCAATTTCAGGACAGCACAAAAAGTTGTTGCACTCTCTTTTCACGAGGCATCGGATTAAATATTCCCATTCTGGCCAGACGTGTTTGCTGTGTACCTGTATAGCTCGCACAACCAAACGGACGCCCAAATTTGGCAAGTGTTTTACTTCCGATTAGAAGAAAACATTAGTGACCATATTTCTATTTCCTAGTCAATCTTGGGGTGATTTTCGAAATGAATATTCTGGACTGGTACTAACTGTAAAAAATAACTTTGTCCAAGACAGGATGAAAATAAATATTTTGTACTACAAAATGTAGGAGTAGTTGTGTATTTAAGTGGAAATAATTTTGCGCTAAATAAATAAGCCGTATTATCAACAGGCTCATAATGAATATTCCATCAGCAAATAATACCCCTCCCACTGAAAATCAAATGGTCTACAAAGACTATTTAAATTGAAATTTTTTTTAACTGAGCAAATTTTTAGCTTTTGTCATACACGTAAGCAAATATTTACTAAATAACTTAATTCATAATATTATTATGATCATTTTTATTCAATATACGTTATTTCTTTAAATCTTGATAATAAAATCCACGATCTCAATATCTTGTTTTATTGTACACTTAACCCACACAAGGCCTACATTGACAATCAACTGCATATAATCAAAACCTGATTTAAACTACATGTAAACACTGTTTTTTTTTTTTTAATTGGGAACGTAATAGAGTTTAGTTTAAGTGTTGAGTACACTTACACCACACCGAGCTTTGCTCAATGTGAACACGGCCTTAGTATAATAGTTATTTAATTTTCATATGGTAGACCATATCCATTTAATTATTTCAGAACCTATCAAACACCGATTATTTTTTTAATATTGTAATAAAGACAAAAATACTGACTTGATTATTGAATAGCAAAATGTTTTATAACATTCAAGGATATATATTAATTGTGCAAAAATCCTCAAATGATCACTGATAGACTAAAGCTAAGGCAATACTTGAATGTCATGTAAAATTTGAACTTTTAAGAAACTAGATTTTACTTTGCTTAAAACTGCTCAAGATATTAAAGTAGGTTTACAAGTATCCGGGTTTCTAAGGCTTAATTATTATTGACACGACATATATTTAAAAAGAGGAAACTCTTATCTCTGCAATGATCAAAATTTTATTTCATAGAACGAACATTTGTTCCAAAATGCAAAAAAAGTAATAATAGAAATAAAATGATTTTAAATGCTGTATATTTACGCATTAAATACTTGTCTTGAAATATTTGGGTTTTTAAGTTAGAATAATTAATAAATATAATTAAGTTTGAAAAAAAGATCGTCTTTGTTATAAAAACAAATCCCGATAACGCTTGAATATATGCATACTTGTGTATCCAAAATAAACAATTATCATGGACAACAATAAAAGGCTAGAGGAAGACACATAATCGTAAGGTTAAAAATGATAACAGCAATCATAGGCAAAATACTGGAATAAATTTTAATAGTTAACGTTTCAGCAGATTTAAACACGTGTCTTGTATAAACAATGTTAGCAAATCCAGCAGATAATCTTTTTCTGTGACATAACATTCAATAACACCCATACATAACGACGTTTAAGGTATATCCTGTTTTAAGCCTGTGCTGAATATCCTGATAAAAAGATAAGTTATATGACGATGCTTTCCGTCTTATATAAAAAGTAATAACATCTGTAGACGGGGTAAACATCTACATTATAAATATTTTCAATCTTTACACGTGACATCCAAAGATAAGGTGATAAAACTTTCTCTTTCATTACAGAACAGTGTCAAACATCGACATTCCTTTAGTTATATTTTCATCCTAAAAAAAAACACAGAATAAATAATTATGTCGTGCCTACATAATTATTGACATCGTTTTAACTATCTTCTACAGTTTTCAAAACAATGGACCAACCCTAGACAGAATAATATCCATTTGTGTATATTAATATTTATTTTGATTTGCTTGAAATTTAGGTTTTCCATTGCAAAACATGATCTTAGACATTTCAAAATATTTTAAGTTCACAGATTTCACATTATCCAAACTTTTCTATTGGCGATATTGCTGGCTTGTCTATCTTCAATTGGTTATAGTTGCCTTTTGATAATCATCCCCTTTTTAACTTAATTACAGGCTTTGCTTACCCGTCTTGAATATTTGATTTTTATTTGAGTTCCGAACAAAGTAAGCTGTAGGTTGATTAACTAACGGCCTAACTATAAGTCCAGAAAACTCAAAGATCTTTAAATGAAATTAACACTATAATTGTGGTGCATCCTTCTTGATAACCTTCCTCTGGAACGCTCGAAACAAATCAAAGTTGAAAATCGTGATTTATAAAAATTTCAGGAGCCATGTGGCAAAAAGGATCTAAACCAAATAGCCCAAACCATCTAAGTGTTAAGAGTATAATGTATGTATGTTTGTCTGTATACATGTAGCAATGCGCTTGATTTCTATCAATCGTGTATTGTTTTCGGGGTTCGGAGTTTGCATTGTCTTTATTTGCTTTATCTTTTTCTTCAGTTACGTACATTTAACATGATAAAATAAAAGTGGAAATAAACAATGGTAAAAACGGAAGACTATTTGGCGTCAAAACTAACCTACGTTTTATTTGTTTTAAGCATTCCCTTGGTACGTCTTCGTTGACATATGATAAGTGTTGCAAGTTAATTGAAATAAGGAGTCTTGTTCTTAAATGTCAAAAGATATTGAACTTTTGTATATGTCCCTAATGAATGTAGATACTACATAAAGTGCGTTCAGCTATATTGCATTATATGACCGATTTTTACTATCTGTAATGACCTTGTTTTCCTAAGTAATGGCATGGATATAGTTTAACCGGCGCTAATTGTAAACGTCACATATCAAGCTTTATAATATAACTGTAAACCACGATTGTGTATATAACCAATATCATTCGATTGTTAAAACAAAAGCTTTTGCTCAATTAAAAACTCATAAGAGTTGCAATTTCTGTCATTTTCTATTCCGACTTAAGTATGACCAATTTGAAACTGACGTTTTCGAAAATTATGGGGTTCCTCAACTAATTCAAGGGTACTCATCTTTCTATAGCCTGGTTTTTTTTGTTTTTTTTTTTTTTGTTTTTTTTTTATTCGCATCAGTTTTTTTATAATGACTTTGTTTTAGATATGACATTTAAATGCCACTAAATGTGCAAATAAGCAGCAAATAGGAATGATCAAGTGTTTTAAAGAAAAGCAAGTTTCCAGTAGACCACGAATGTGGTTCAGTCTTTTTAAAATTGGTACCAGTAGAAATTAACTCGCTCAGTTAAAAGCTACAACTGAAAATATTATGTCCAAGGCATATGATTTTTGGTTGTTTGTGTATGTCCATAGATATTAAAAATGTTTCCTTTTAACGTTTCTGTTTTTTGTTATTTGCAAATGATAATAAATTATGAATACATTACCCTACGACAGCTATCCATGAACTCATCCAACGATATAACTCCATCTTTATTTAAATCCATTTTCTGCAACAACAACAAAATGTTAAAACAATAAAATATCAGGGCGAAATCAGAATCTCCAGAACATTCAAATAAAAGACAAAAACAGTGATTACCAACAAAGAATTGAATCTTTCAATAGTCATATTTTGGCAACAGTTGTTTACCGATGTTCAAATCACATAAATCAATTAAGAATAAGAATCAAGGTAAATAGCAAACATCTGACGAAATCGTATGAATTTCAAAAGGAGCGAAATAGGGTACGTCGGCATGGTAAGAATCTCCCGCTTTGCATGTATCACCTGCCATGCGAAAAAGTATTTGAAATGCAATGTTTTTAAACCATATCCATCAAAATTTCATAAAATGTATATGGTTGAAGATACCTGAGTAAAACAAATTTTATTTTTGAACTTAACCAGGAAGAGAATAAAATGATCCTATTAATACTCAAAACAGAAACCATGAAGTGGACTGCACGTATGAGAAAGGAATTTGAAATTTGGCAGTCTAATATAGAAAATCTGCATCTCTTTATGATAGCACTGCATAGAACTAAACGGGTAAACTATCTGGGCACCCGTTTTAAAGGTTCACTGAGATATGTAAATATGAAATATAAATCTAGCCATACAATCAAGGGAAATGAATAAAAGCATTGCAGTATCAACAGATATGTATTTTCATTTGATGAATCATTTAGTAAAGTGTTGTAATTACCAGAAGCTGATGTAAGGTTTTGATGATTCAGATTGCTTTAATTAAGAATAAAAACTACACTATTTCAGTCTCTATAAACATTTTTGTTTATTTAAAAACAGTCGAGGTATCTTGCAACAGATCTGGAAGATTAATGATTTTAGCACTTATCTCGCGACTTTAACTGCTACTATGATTAGCGTACTGAATGCTCTCCCTTGAAGAAATTCTTCATCAAAGAAAAATCAAACATAGATATAGATTCGAGCAATGTTAAATGTATTGATCCTATGGATAAACTTATTGATAAAAGTTTATCAGTTTAACAAAGTAATAAGATATTCTGTGTTGTCTTACATTGATTTTGTTTTTAATAAATTAAATCATAACTGAATATGTATTGTTGTACAGTTATGAACACATCTGGTCTTACATCCTGTCGATACTTATAATTTTGCAATGCACTTTGTCATGCTTTTCTACGGGTGTTTATGACGTTTTTACACAAAATCGGTTGGATGTGACTGATTGATATTTTACTCAGGGAGTTGAGGCTTAAGTTTTCTTTCAGTAACAGCACGTACTCTTTGGTCGTACGTGGTTTAGTCTTTTTGAGATTATTTTTGCCGTGTCAAGCACTAGCACACTGGCTTTTACAGTTTGTTTTATATTGTGCTTTAACACTACTGTCCGAGGTAAAGGAAAGGTTGAGCACTCCCAGACATGTTAACCCAGCCACAGTGATACCTTCCTCATGTATGAAGCCTGTTATTCAGTTTCTGTCTTTGGTTGCTGTGTGCCATATTTTTTTTGCTAATTGTTTTAAGGTTAATCAGGCCGTTGGTTTTTATTTGAATTGTCTCATGATGGGTCCTTTTATAGCGTACGATACGGCATGGGTTTTTTTCATTTGTTAAAGGCCTTACAGTGACCTATACATGTTTTCATCATCGTCCTTTGGTTTCTGTTAGATAGTTGTTCCATGAGCAATCATGCCGCATCGTCTTATTTTCATATTTTAATGGTAATTTAAAAATATATTATCATTTCTTGATCCAAGTTTCATATTTTCATTGATTTTTTTTGTGTATCTTTTAAATTCAATGAATGTCAAACTGTCAATCTATTACAGATTTATTATTAGACATGGGAGAAGAAATCAATTTAGATTACTGGAAATTACCATTGTCTACTTCATTTTTGTCTGTTATGTCATTTAGATGCGTTTGCAAATAGATAAATAGGAGAATTGGGAATACTACCAAGGTCAGTGCAAGGATTTAGATTTTAATATAAATATACTGAAAACAACCTCCAGTGCCAAAGTTATTTTTTTCGTTATTCCCTTCAATTGTAACTGATCTGAGAACAGTGCTGGAAAGTTATAAACTTCTACATGAGCTCTCTTAATAGCTCTTAAACATCAGTCCTGTTAGGGTAAGGTTTGCCCGTTTCCCTTATTTTTAAGTTTTGAAGTCATTTAACACCCGAGCAAAAACATTTGAAACCAAAAAAATTTATCAGGACTGTTAAACAACTTTGGAAGGATAAGGATAAATAAGTGGCCAAACAAAGAATGAGTACATTTGGTCAAAATGTATCCTATAAAAGTTGTTAAACAAAAAATATTAAATCACCAAATATATGCAGAATTTAAACTTTTTATTAAGATCCAATAATGACAATATCAGATGTCACGAGACGTGCACTAATTGCAACTTTTTCAACAATTTTAGTTCCACGAATCTCAAAGGACAGCTGAAAATTGAAAAATCAAATCAGAGCTTGTCTTGTTGGAACAAACTTTGGTAGTGTTTCGTTATAGGAACATAAAAAGGTATAACGAAAATACCGAACTCCAAGGTAAATTTAAAAAAGAAAAGTCCATACTGACAAAATCTAACGTTATACTTTATCATCCAAAGGAACGAATGGAAAGTTATAGGAAGACGTTTAGAGACAGGAGGAAAACGATTGAAGTTTAGAAGTATCATAATACGTTTGCCGCTGACAGGCGAACAATTTTTACTATTACAACTTCAAAAGGATGTATATGTAAAATGGAGTCAGGTGAAATAAAAAATCTGGAATTTAAAATTGATATTATAAATCAGAAAAGTTAAGGAACAAAATAAGCTTAAAATATTGATAGGTTATGGAACTTCTTTTCGAGATATTTGATTTGATAAAAATTGCGGGTTAAAGCTGACTCGGACTGTTACCTTATATTTAGCATTGACATTATTTGAATGACCTTTTATGAGCTATTGAAGTCTTCTATGAAAAGAAAAGTTGGTGATATGGGGCAAAGTATTTTACCCTGTATCGTAGGAAAAATCCCAAAGGAGTCGGAATATCTCAGAAAAATTCCTAAACTGAAATGATTATGTATTAAATATATTAGTAACATATGGTATATATAGCAAATTATTCATCTGGTTTTTATGTACATGTTAACAAAAATATACCCAAAAAATTAAGCAAACAAGGACAAAATCTCTATAAAAGCCCACATAATAAATCATACAACATTTTTCTCTGTTTTACAAGCTTATTATTTAAAACTGGTATGTTTGATACAATTTTAACAGTTTTGTATTACATAAGACGACAATTTAACAGCTTGTCTTACAAAAGACGACAAGTATTCATTTTGGTTCAGTTATAATACATTGAAATACCACTTTATAAATTTGGTACGTACGAAGCCCTTATTTTAATTTATAAAAACAAGGGTTTCCATAACTTTATTTGGCCTTTATAACTATTTTATTCGAGCATCATTGATGAGTCGTTTAGCCACAAAACCAGGATTCAAACCACCATTTTTTTTCTTAAAATGTCCTGTACCAAGTCAGGAAAATGGCCACTGTTATATTATAGTTCGTTTCTGTGTGTGTTACATTTTAATGTTGTGTTTCTGTTGTGTCGTAGTTCTCCTCTTTTATTTGATGTGTTTCCCTCAGTATTAGTTTGTAACCCGGATTTGTTTTTTTTTCTCAGTCGATTTATGAATTTCCAACAGCGGTATACTACTGTTGCTTTTATTTAAAGACGAAACGTGTGTTTCTAATCCATGTATCTATGATAACTTTAAATTTAAACCAACCTATTTGAAAGTCAAGGATTTATACGTACATGATTTCGTGAAGAGCTATTTAACCAAAGGGGAACTAACATGAATAGCTTAATCCATCAATGGTTTACTTTGTCTGGACGAGTTGGAACCTAAATTTCTTATTTATTTACAAAATGATCAACAGATAATTTTAAAAAGGTATGTTCTATATTATGCCAATTCAAAAGCACTGACTTCTTAGGTTTGCCTTCAGTTTAAGATTTGACAATATATTTCCATGCAGTACATTCATATAGAATTTACGCATTTAACATCTACCATTGAAGAAGGTTATTCCAGTAACAATGAAGACGTGTATAATATTGGTTTAATACGAATGTTTTCTTGTGCTTGAAACCTTAAACGTCAGTCATGAGATAAATAGTTGGTTATATATATTTATATGCAGTACATTGTCGTTTGAAGGTCGTCATATATCTCGTTTCAGTTAAGTATTTATTATTTTATCATAGCTACTGACAAGTCGCAAGTCGAGTAAATATATATAAACTGACTGCATGCGAAATTTTGATCAGTAATTAATTTGCCAAAAAAAACTTGAAGACTTAAAAGAGAGGCGAAAGATACCAAAGTGACATTCAAACTCATAAGTCGAAAATAAACTGACAACGTCATGGCTAAGTAAGAAAACGACAAACAGACAAACCATAGTACACAAAACACAACATAGAAACTAAAGACTGAGCAACACGAACCCCACCAAAAATTGGGGTGATCTTAGATGCTCTGGAAGGGTAAGCAGATCTTGCTCCACATGTGGCACCCGCCGTGTTGCTAATGTTAGTACAAACCCGGTAATTAGTCTAATTTGGTAGGTCACATTCGGTAAATGGGGACGGGATTGTAGTTACGACATTAGGAACATATCCGCTATCATCTGTGAAACGTATATTCCGTAATGGTCAACCAACTCGTGATGGCGTCCGTAAAATTTACGAAGGGATGATTTCAACTTTTCAAAATTTGGAACTCTTGGTTTAATAGCTTTCTTGTGAGCAGCAACCTTCTATCAAGGAACTCATGATAGGAAATACAAGCCCTGGAGTATCGTATCAACTGGAAGATATATACTCCGTATGCAGGCGCTGCTGAAAAGTAGCTACATAAAAATGGAAAGTTCACAATTGGGAAGCTGAAATGATCTCTTTTGTCATAAAGTTTTGTTTTCAACCGACCTTCATTGTCAATTTCTAGATGTAAGTCAAGATATGAGGCAGACTTAACTGTATCTGTTGTATCCTTTATCTCAAGTTCAATGGGATAGATGCGTTCAACATAGTCACCCAATTTTGTATTATTTAGTGAGAGAACATCATGTATGTAGCGGAAAGTAAAGTTAAAGGATACTGCTAACTTCTTTTTTTTCTTCCTAAGAAGTTCCTGTATGAAGTCAGCCTCATATGAATAAAGGAACAAGTCGGCAAGAAGAGGGGCACAGTTGGTTCCCATGGGAATGACGATTGTTTGTTAAAAAACACGTCCTCCAAACGTTACAAATATATTGTTACTCAAGAAATCAAGCATCTTGGTGATGTCAGTTTCAGAGAATTTTTTGTTAGAATCAGAGTGATTTTTTACAAAGTAGGATATATCCCTCCCTAAGACAAGATACTTGTATCAAGGTTGGCCATTCTTTTTTATGAAACAAAGCAGGACCAACTCTTTCAATTTGTCTTTTAGTTTGGAATGGGGAATACTTGTGAATAGTGTAGAAAAGTCAAATGTTTTAATACTATTGCATGATGAAAGAATCTTAGATTGTGTGTTCTCTAAAAGATCTGTGGAATTTTTTAGTACCCACATCTGATTCACTCCACCTCTAGAATATGTAGTTTCACAATAACTTTGAAGCCCAGCTTTGATTGCTGATTGATGTTAATAATTTAGAAAGAGGTTTCGTGGAGCACTTGGAAGACCCAGCAATATACCGTTGTTTGTAAGGACACTTATGTAGTTTAGGTATCCAATACAGTGATAGAAGATCCAGTTCTTCATCTTTGGTTGAAATTCCAAAGGAACGTAGACCAGATCTATGATTATCCAGGATGTCCTCTTTAGTAAGTGTCGTGGGGGTATATGTTGAGTTTCCAAATAAATTGTCAATACCTAATTCATTTATCAAGCAGTTTATGTAATGTGATTTACACACAAAAACGATGTTGTTTGGGCCTTTATCTGCGGGGACAACAACATATTTGTTATGGAGGAAGGAAATGTGTTTAGCAACATTTGTGTCTTTAAAGATTGATGTAGCATGGGTATTAATAGACCCATTCAGTTTCTTAATTCTGATTTGAATTAACGACCTCTTCTTTCTCGCGTTTAGCCCATTGCCTGGCATAATCCTCGACTGAATCCATCTGAGAAGTGTTATTGACAATGTTTAGGTCACCAGTAATAATGTGGCCAGCCGGATTATATATGAATGGAGAACTAGCACAGGTGCAATCAGGAGGTTTAGGCTTGAAGTCGTCAATATTGAGATCCTGCAACACGTGTTTGTAATTGAAAAATTTAGTTGCAATTGGTTTGGTATAGGTATAAGAAATGATAGGTACAGACTGATCTTTAAAATAGGGAGGTATTTTCGAGTGAACAAATTTATGATGAAGGATATTGCCCATCGATATTAATGGCATCGAGACCTTTGTTGGCAAAGGAAAGTTTAAGAAAGGATCTTTTTCTCTTTTTCATCTTTTCCAATGCGAACTGGTTTTAAACATCTGTGTCTTGCAATATCCGAAATGATAGCTGAAAGTTTATATTGGTTTGAATGAGGGTTTGTAACAGTGTTTTCCAAACATAAGTTGTACAGAGAATGAAGTTTTGAAAGGGGTAATGAATAAAGCTTCGTGCGAATGTGATGAATACCTAACGGCTTTTGTATAAATGGCAGCAGGTTATTAATAGAGACACCATGGAGAGTAGGTGATGTATAATGACGATGACCATGACTGCGTCTACGTCGAGGAGTAGAGTTGAAAATGTTCATCACATTCACCGAGCTACAGGAAGGACTAGATAGAATACTTATACCATTAACTTTGTCATTGCAACCATATGGTGTCGCAGTTCCCAATTGTCGAATCCAGCGGTCTTCTTTCGGTCTACGGAAAGGTGTCGCAAGATGAGGATTGTTAGTCCTGTGGTATATGTTTCGATGATGCGAACTTGCATAGAAACGATTGAATGATCAGGCTGGTAAAGATGACTGAATCGAGATAGGGCAAGAAACAAATGTTCACAAAACAACTTAACCCCACCATAATGTAAGGTCCTTGACTTTGAACTTTAGCACTACATTTTATGTTCTGTCGTTTGTATGATTAATTATTCATTTCGTCCGTTCAGGGATCATTGGGTGGTCATCTCTGGGTTATTAATCTGCTTTTAGTTGCAACTTAAGCAAGCAAAAATTACCTTTTACTGCTACGGCTGCCCTGTATTGATTCTATTTGATGTCTGGTAAATATGGGCGAAAACTTTCTATAATCTTAGTTATTCACACTTTTTGTCTAGAGCGTACCCATGAAGGTTATTCATGAAACACGTCTATTAAAACTTTTAATCATACATTTGAACACTGTGATTGAGAGCTTGACGTGTAGTAAAGACATATTTGTTTATTGTTGACGAAATATATTGATGTCAAGACATATAAGGACCTTACCTTATGGAGAGTTGTCTCATTTGCATTCATACCACATCCTCTTATTTCTATATATGTTTCCTCCTGTGGACACTTTGTTATAAACAATGATATTAAATCTGTTCCTGCTGGACTTTATAGTTTATACCCTAAGGAGCAAATGCTGAGGAAATGGTATTCCAGAATATTTTATCCATTTGTAAATAAATGTATAAAGAAACTTATATCTTTTACATATTACTTTTATTACGGTCTTGTTATGCCGTTTATATATTGTTGGTGTTAATTTACTCATCTCAAAATGTCCGTTATAGTTCAAAATTGATTTACAATTGGAAGTGCATGGGCGTAATTGTGTGTTTTTTTTACGGTCAATATGGTTAAGTATGTGATTTGAATACCACGTTAACCGATTCAACCTTAACATTTTGAATGTCTGAATCATTTCAGGATTTTATAATATTATGTTTTCATTTTGATGAAAGTTTTTTTGCGTTATGGATGCAGTTTACTTTTGTGTACAAAATCCCATAATCAATATTTGATAATTACTTTTTGTTATCTTATTATATATCATATTGCTCTGCATAGAAATAACGACATACCTTGAAAACCATTTCTACATGATCTCGTGTTGTATTTTCATAAACTGAAGGTTCACAGAATCTTCCCATTAGTTCATAAATAGCAGATATAATGTTCAACATTTCTTCCCTCGTTATTAATCCATCCCCGTTAATGTCATAAAGGTTGAAAGCCCATTCTAATCGTTCTGTCATTGTTCCTCGGGCTAGCACTGACAGTCCAACCACAAATTCCTGCAAATACAATAAATATGTTATGTGTTTGTGCCTTTCAAAGAAACAATTAACAACAGCAATCGGAAGACTTCAAGTAAAGTGGATTGTTGTAAAGGTACTTTAATGTGTCTTTAATTTTAAATCAGGTCTAGAAAGAGGGCAGCTAGATACGCCCGCAGAGGTCCAACCCTGAACAGTTGGGGCAAAAATGGACACAATATTCAAGCTTGATTCAGTTCTGAATTTGGATTGTAATTAAATATTTGACATATTATAGGTTTCTGAATAAATGTAGTCAAAGAACTTGAAATTGGTTATATGAATTGAATTTATATTCAATTAAAGATTTCTTGCTGTTGTGCAATACTTAGTAAATCTGTTGTCAGACTATAAACAAATAAAGTTCAATTAATTCTCAATGTAATATTAGAAATTTATGAAAATAAAAAGGGAGCTTACATCAATAGATATAAACAATTCACCAAAGTTTCATGAGAATTGGTGACAGCATTTTTGAGTTATTGTTCGAAAACTGGAAAATCACCCCTTTTTTTAATGAATAAAACCCCATAACTCAGAAATGAAAAATGTAAAATTTATAAAATTCTAAAGGGAGCTTACATCAATACATACAAACAATTCACCAAAGTTTCATAAGAATTGCTGAAAGCATTTTTGAGTTTTTGTCCGAAAACTGGAAAATCCCCCCTTTTTTTATGAATAAAACCCTGTAACTCGGAAACGTAAAATCTTAAATTTATAAAAATCCAAAGGGAGCTCATGTCAATAGATATAAACAATTCACCACAATTTCTTGCAAGTTGGTGAAAGCATTCTTGACTTATTGTCCTAAAACTGGAAAATCCCCCCTTTTTTAATGAATAAAACCCCATAACTCGGAAACGTAAAATCTAAATTTTATAAAAAACGAAAGGGTGCTCATGTCAATACAATTCACCAAAGTTTTGTGAAAATTGGTTCAAGCATTTTTGAGTTAATGTCCGACATGTTGACAACGGACAGACGGACGGACGGACGGACGGACGGACAGACGGACAACGGTATACCATAATACGTCCCGTAAACGGGCGTATAAAAATTATAAAAAATAACAGCCTTTAAATATAATTTGGTACGCCAGACGCGTGTTTCGTCTTTACGGTTGAAAGGCCAAATCAAAAATAAAGAGCAGGATCATGTTTGATATAAATGTGAAATATCCGGTTAACAAGTAAATATTCTCGATTCTCATCTTTAAAAAATTAAATTGATACAGATTTTGATTATGTTTTTTTTTAGATCTGTATTTTTTTGTAGAAATGCAAATTTTACTTAAAACCAGCAAAACTGCGGATGAACTATTCCTAGCCTGTATCAAACAAGTTACACTTTTGAAAATACAGTTTCTGTTAGTCTTTTTTTTTATGTATAATCAACGTGTTGGTCGGTTGTCCCTTTGTTTGTATAATTTAAATATGAAGTTAAATTTAATGGTCTTCCTCTGAGTTTGACATTGTGAAGTCATGAAAAAAGACAAGGAAGGCTGGTGGTGACGACTTGCAAACAAAATATAGTTTAAACCTATCATTAAAAGAGAACAAACAGTTTAACTTAATAAAGTAACATATTTCATCTTCGTATCTCATGCAATAAGTTATTGCTCCACTCTCGACAGTTAAAATCAACAAACATTTTTGCCAAATGTATCTTGTAGCAAAATATATTTTCGGGTAAAACCTTGGTATTTGTTTAATATTATTGACAATATCTCAAAATTAAGCTATTTCAGCAGTTTTTGCAGTTTTACACTAAAATCAGGACGTTTGGCGCCTAAATATGTAAGAAAAATTAGAAAATAAAATTACTGTTATCTGACATTTTTGTGTCTAAAAACATCTGAATGGTGTTAAATTATTGAATCAAAATAGTTCTTCTATTTTCGAATTCAAGGGACCAAAAAAGTTGCCTTATTAAACAGTCTCGTATATTCTGAATATTCATCTCGGTTCTTGTTTATTAGATAATAGGAGAAATAGAAATCATGATATTCATCTCTCCTCGATAGCTTATTTCACAGTGTCGATCGGGATATCTTGGTATGATCTATATACAACTCGTTGTTAATTTGATCTCCGAAAGTATATTGATGGATGCAGATGATTTAATATATTTCTTGTTCAGATCCCTTTTCTTTTTTTCTAATTATTGCCTTTATTCCATTTTGTCAAACCGCACCTTTCTTAAATGGTTTCAAAGTGCGTAAAATGTCTGTAAAGTTTGCAATGAAAAGGTTTCTGGTCTCCATTGATAGTTGTCTTATTGGCAAACATACCACATCTCCTTATCTGTGTGTTATCTTAATTCAAATGTAGCTCCAGTTTTCCTCCACTTACAGTGTACAATGTTAAATCTAAAAACTTCATTAATACATTTTTTTTGTGAAAAGCATTTGCTCTTGATGGATTGATTCATTGATTAATGAATCAACGTAAAGGCTTTATCGCGGCGAGAGATTTTTAATCTAATGACACAAAATTGCGTGTTTTCAAAATTAGATGTAAAGACCTTCATTATACTAGAAGCATTAACACAAAATGACTCATACACCTACAAATTCCATTGTAGAACTAGGTGATGAAAATTTTAAGATTTTGGAAATAAAATATTTTTTCTGTTAAAAGCGAAACAGTACTACAGCTTTTAATGTTTTTAAATAAATTAGATTATTAATGTAATACTGCTAGGAATTTCGACATAGGCGGCCTAATGGGCCGATAAACTGACAAGCTGAGAAGTTTATACAATATTAAATTCTAAAATAAATCATTCATCTGTTACATCCTCAGTATTCCCGCCGAAACACTTGGTAATTGCAGCTCAGTCTCGATCAACATTAGCAGACTTATACAACTCGTACTCCATTTTTCGATCAATGCATACGGTTATATTTAATTTCGGTATAAAAATAATGCATCACAAAAGGGTTTGTAGCAGGTTTATTAGGTTTCACCTTGTCGACGGGGTGGTCTCTTTCACTTTTAGAGCTCATGCGATTTCCTCAGTTTTTGTTTCTTATCGTTATTTGTATCTTCTTAATCGATTTATAAAATTGGAATATCAGTAAACTTCTGTTACCTAAATCAATTGCATTAACGAAGATCAAATATCATCTCTAGTTAATGATGTGTCTATATAGAGCATTTACATGTCTTAACAGAGGCAACATAATTCAATTACATAGCAGTGAGATGCGTTTTAAACGAATTCCAAAAGAAGGTTTGTGCATGTGTTCTTCCAAATGGTCTTCATAGAAGGGATTGAAGACGCAGGCAGAGTGTCCCAAAAATGCCTTACGCATGATGGTTAGTTGAAGACAGGTTTTAACAGCTTGTGCACATTTGTGATGACAGTACATCCCGTAAAATGTCCGAATTAAATACGAATTCAGACGCAGTGAAACTAAATAATATATAGTGCGATTGTTTTGTGTTGTGTGTTAATTAATCCAAAATCCGGAAAATCTTCCAAATTGCCCTAGTTTAATGAGGTCTTTGTATGTCAAATTCTACAATTAAGCCTTAAGCTTTGATATATAATCCACATTATCCCAACGTACTTTCTCCCTTAGCTCCTTGCAGAAATTTTAACCATAAGAATATATATGTGCCAAAATGGGAATATAATACATGTACAATAAAACTAGTATTTATTTCGAAATCCTTATATATTTATATCGAAGACTCCAGACTAATCATTTTTTTATTACACAATCAAACTGATCTTGAATCAATAAATGTCTTTACTTAGATTTGAAAGGAGAATCAAATTAGCTACTTTTCTTTAAAAAAATATTCCCTATTTTTAAGATATAAACTGATGAAAGTTCGATAGACCTGCTTTTTTCCACGGAGTAATAACTTGTGTCCAAAAAAAAGGAATCCGGCTCAGATATTTGTACGAAAGAGACATATTTTTTTATAGTTACAATTATATCTTCATCACGCAAATATACAATCGAAGCTAACGTCAATGTTGCGGGAGGCTACAAAAAATAATTAACAATTCGCAACAGAATGAAGTTACACGATAAATTGTTCAACCTTAAAGGTTTCGATCAATCACATTTTCCATTCAGTAGTTAAAATTTTATATTTTTTTCTATTTTAGTTCATTTTCCCTCCAGATGTTGCATTTCTTTCTTCTTTTCTTTTTATATCCGTTCTTAAGATAGTATAAAACATTATTGTATATCAAATCTTAATTACATATGCTTCAATACGACCATCAATATTGACTTGAATCTTAATAACACCATTTACATGGTCTTTGATACCACAGAAAACCTGTAATAAACTATTGGATCTGATGATTACCATTGACTAGTTGATTATTATGGAGTTGATGGAAGTTCTTCGACATTGGGAAATTTTTATTTATAGGAAATGTCCTTTGGTCATTACGTATTGATCATCGTCGTTTTATGTTTCTCACATTATAATTGGTCTATCGATTATATCAACACTCATATAAACTAAGCTTCAATAAACTTAGTTATTAGATGTACTAGTCTTTACTGAAATGATTATCTTTGTCAGGGTAAGCAGCAGGGATAAAGAGGAAAAGATACCAAGGAACAATTAAAAATTTGATAAGCATAAGAAAATCTAACACCAAAATACGGACATACGAAAAACGATGAAAAGACAGATAAAAATCCTTAAAACACTACACAGTTAAATAAATAGTGATCAACACAAACCTCACAAAAACCGGGATAAAAGTCTGAAGTGTCAACAGTTTCTGCTTCATAGTTTACATTTCCTCGAGGTTAATGCAACATTTTCCCCGAAAAAATATACAGGAAAATATGCGGAAAAAGCTAACTGGGCATGCCTTAAATTGATGTGAATTTCTTCAAAAACAGATTGAATAAAGTGAGCACATGTAATTGGTGCTAATTAAACTAATTCGACTACGAGAATTTCGTTGTAAAAAAGTACCATATTTAGTTATTTTCTTAACTTGTCAGAAAGTTTTAACCAAATTACAAAACAAGTTTATATTAAAGCCTTTAAAACGAAAAAATGACGCACGGCAATCTATGCTTACATATATGATGTATAAGCTTCCTCCTGTTAAAGTGTCGTGCTTAATCCATTTGCAAATGCATACAGCATGCATATCCTGTTTTGCATTTAGTACCATATTAATAGATTTAACTCATGTATTTACATCATTACATCATTTTCATTTTGAGGATACCGTGCCGAATGAACATATCCTTTTGTTGCAGTTTCAAATTCAATATTTGTTTCTAAGAGATCGAACCATTACGCTACTCTATGGCCATTAATAAGTTCATGACTGGAAAATAAATGTCATCTAGAATAAATTGTGTTTGGTTGCTTTGCAGCCCAAAGTGATAAAAGCTTTTTATGTTCTTCAATTAATGCTTTTCCCTTTATCCTACATTACAGTAATTTGAGAGATTTTACCGACTTCATCGGTGGTTGTTTGTTATATAGTCTCCGAAATCAATACTTATTTGACAATTATCTGTAACAGTGTTATTTTACTCTCTAATAGAGTGAAACACAGAGGAAAAAGATGGTGTTTTCCATTAATTATCTCTGTTGTTCGGAATCACTAAATATTTTGTAATTTTTTACTGTATTTTCTGGATATGAAATTTGTGCATTGTTATCTTACATCATAAAGAAGGCGTAATATAATAAAAGAATCGATTTTAACTACAACGTATTGTAGGTTTCTAAGATTTCATGTTATATATTAGACATCACTTAGAGAATAAAAATACCATGCTTTTTTTAAAACTGTTCGGTTTAGGCAATATTTTCTATGATTTGCACTAAACTCTATTAGTCAGACAAGTCGAAAAACATACATTAAAACAAAACATACTGACACCATTTTTAACATTAAGATCATTATTGTGAGACATAATTTATTTAACAAGTCACATGCTTTTATTTTGAACCAAATAATAATTTATGTCATACGTATGACTGAAGGTCATATGCCACCTTTAAAATCCCTTTTTTCAAAAGGTTTCTGAATTTGTTTTTGACCTAAGACCATCAAACCTCAAAACATTGTAGCAAGATAACGCGAAGAAAAACACATCTGTGACCTCATTTACTCTTAATATGTTTTACGTTTTATTTAGCAGAATGATCGTGACAGGTAAAATCACTAAATCAATCAATAACTCAGTCAGGTTTACAAGGCATTGCCAATCCAATTCCGGTTTCATTTATTTCATTTCTTATCGTTTACTGATCGTCTATAAAACTCAGCAATCTCTTATGGAGGCACTAAATATATAATGTCCAATGTTTGTTCAAAGTGGATCCAGAATAAAACCAATAATCTTATCACACTAATAATTCTGAAAGAACGAAATAGAAAATCGGAGCATGCAACTTTTTGATAAAAGATTTGTCAAGTTTCAGAAAAGAGCGCTCTAAAGTTTCAACACTTTAAAGTATCTCCTATATTATCGTAGAGTATAGTAATTCTCTCTCATATTATCGGAGCTTAGAGTTATTCACTCAGTTGATATCGAAGCTTATTCTCCGTAATACGCGCAACTGAATTTGACGTTTTTTGTGTGTATATTGATTTGTAAAGTATAGGTACGATTGCTTTGGATTCTCTGTGAATCAAATTCATAGACAAATGATCTGTCGATCTGTCAGTAAAATATGGCACGTGCGGAAATTAGTTGTTTTTTTTTTGTTTTTTTTTGTTTTTTTATTTCAGGAACGTGAATTTACATGCGATAATAATAGAATTGAACTTTTAACACATTTTGATTTGTATTGCTCAAGCGTGCAGAATTGCACATAAAGAGAACTAACCTGCCACATTAACAACACATAATTAAAAATTTGATTTTTGTAAATATATTTTCTCATTTTTTCAAGTTTTTATGAATTAGCCGGTTATTTTTTAGAAAAAAAGTTTCTATCCCTCATTTGAGCTAAAGTATTATATGATACATCTCAGACATCGGTTTTGAGATTCTGATTAAAACAATGTTGATATAATAATGCGTTGTATTTAAATAAAAATGTAATTTCGCAAATATCATGAACTTCTTTTATGATGCAAGTACATTTTCTTACACATGATAATCTAATAAAATCATTGAATGTCATATATGATCATTTAGATGCTCCTCAATATCGTAAACAATTATTTGATTGTTTTGATTAAGTTATGTCACTTGCGCTGTATATTGTATTTTCCCTGTTTAGTGTTCACTAAGAGCTTAAAGACCGAATATTTTGGTCAATTTTGCAATTTTGCGCTTTCTCAATACTTGGCAATCTTGAAATTTAACCAAGGAAGACCTATAATACTTTTTAAACATACTTTTGACTTGTGCTCGTGGTATCTGTCTATTGTTCGGTTGTAAATGCCTAAACACATATGCCAAGGAGTCAATTAAAAAAACAAAAGTCGAAGAAAAATAGATATGATATAATGGCAACAAAGAAAAAAGACCAAAGACTTTCAACAAACTAAACCCTGAGTAACTAGAACCTCGCCGATATAATGGGGATAAACTCAGGTTCTCCGGAAGGGTAAACAGTTCGCGCTCCTCTTTTGGCACCCGTCGTGTTGCTTAATGTCATTCAAAACCTTTAAAACAAAAGTTTGGTTGAATATCATACCTGTTCTTACATGTATTTATTTGTACCAAACAAAATATACATTATACTTTTTCCACCAAACACATACTCAAACCTTTTGATACAACATGTTGAGGAATAAAAACCAACCAGTTCTAAACGAAACAGCGAAAAGTTTAACCTTGTCTGAGGAAATAAAAAGATCAAGTAAACAGTTTTCAGACGTGTTTACATAATCCTTGCTTAATTACACAATCATGTGGGCATCAAATATAGCAAACTGTCGTGATACTAATCTCATTCAAAATGCAATCAACATCAATTATGTTAGTCGTTCTGTGTCGTTTATTTCCTACAAATCCTCTGATATAATTTATCACATTATTATTTATTCATAATACTTACTTCAAAACTCAAGGTTCCATTTCCATCATGATCAAATGTGTTAAACACATAATGAGCATACGAATCCGAATCTACAAGAGAATTTCATAAAATAATTAGTTTAGTTTGCAAAGACAAAAAAATGATGTAATATATTTTGCAAAAAATCAAGCAAATACATGACTGTATATAAATAAGGTATATTTTGTGACTTAGATAACAATTACTGTTAATTTATCTTTCATAAAACTGAAACATGTAGGCGAAAATGATTTTTTTTATACATTATGTAGATACGTCTTGTAAAACAACGTAGGGAAATTTAAAATAATATAAGAATCAACTGTTATATACCTATTGCACACAGAATTTAAAGATTGTGTATTTGTTGTCAGTTTTATCTATTATAAACTTATTTTAGACGATACACAGAGAGCAGAAAAATGCAGGAAACACAATGACCAAAAGAAAAAAGACAAATAAGCAACAATTTACAGAACACAACTAAGAAAATCATAGATTGAGCAACACGAATTTCGCCGAAACCAAGGGTGAACTTAGTGGACCCAGAGAATTAAGCAGTGCCTAATCCACTAGAGGCATCTATGTATTAATTCCATAAATAATGACGGATGTGTAAATCTACAAAAAAAATTGTTTGGTTGTAGGACATTGTGACTGTAAATGCGTGTTTAACATAACGCACACACAAATCATACAAAACATGTTTCAAACTGTCGTCAATAACATATGCATAACCTTCTGTTGATACTTCAGTTCTTTTGATTTTTCTTATATTCGATATCGAAGTTATAACGTTATCTTTACCAAATCACGAAGTACCTTGTACTTGAAAGACATCAATTTTAACTCACATCAGCTGATGGCAAATCGAATATTGAAATTAAATTCTATTCATTGTTAGGTTGGTAAAATCTTTAAAAATAATTAAGTCTTATTCAATGCTAATGTGTATTAAAATAGAAATATAGAAGACATTATTCCAGGCTGTTACTCTTGAAATGAAATCATACATTCTAACTACAAATCCATTACGTTTTCAATCTTATATTCAAGTAATATATTTTACAGAAAAACAACTGTAGTCTTCCCTCATGTTTTTGCCAAAAGTTTTAAGTAATGTTAAAGCAGTTCTGAAACAAATGCGTTTTTTTCATTGCTAAATCTACTTATAAGTTGCATGTGTCCCCAACAGCATACGTATTATCAGCCCAAAAGCTCAAAACTTCGTTACTGGCATTAATTTAGCATACGGATACTGTTTTTATGAATGAAAAAACACATAGTAGATACCCGACTGATAGTTTAGTCCATCTCACACGCTTTTCTTCTACATAGGACTCGTCCGCGATATGATATATCTTTGGAAATCCTTTAAAATTAAGGAATGCATGTCCTTTGTGCATTGTATAAAGGATTCCTATGCGGGTTTTGGTTTCTTCTTGTTTTGTCATCTTCTGTTATACCATATGATCAGAATTTGTATTACTCTTTGGATTCACAAATACTTTGGCTTCGAGCATCACTGACAAAACATTAATTGTCGGAATGTGCATCTGGTGGGGTAAAATTAAGAGACAAATTTTACTCTTTATTCAGGTAACCAAACCAAAATAATCAGGCCCTTCAAGAATTTCGGGAATTGTTTCATTTTTGCGACAACACATTTTTAGCAACAATTTCTCTTAAGCAATTAAATGCTAATACTCTTCCAGTTCTAGTTTAACCATTGATACAAGTACTAACACAAAAAGGGACTTTATCCAAAAAACATTTAAACATAATTTGGTAGATGGAAGGTTTTTAGCTTTCACATTTGTTAAAAAAAAATAAAAATACAATATTTTATTATGAATTCTTAACCTGCATGTAACTTTTTATTTGTGACTATTCATCTATTTGGGGAGGGATAAATGAAGATAAAACAGAATCCTGAATACATTTAAAAACATTTATATATTTAGATCGTCCCGTATTTTCTCTGTGAGAGTTGTTACTGATAATGACTTAATCAATAAGAGCTCACCGCCCTGTGGAAAAAATCGAGAATATATCTCTTTGAATGTATCCTCATCAACAATGCCAGTGGGACATTCCTGAAAAACACAAAATCATAATTAAATTTAATCTTTACAAATTAAAATAAACATAAAGCTTTCACACTCGTTTGTTTTTCATTGGAATTTTTATAGAATAAAAATCCTGCCCAGCAGGTAAACATCTCCCATAGTTTACGTGATAGTGATTGTTTTATTCTTGCTATAGTGTCATATCTCGTTACACTATTACGACATTGGTTGTGACATATATAATGCATTTCAAACATATCTGGCATAAGTCATGTTCAAACTATGTGTTACGCGGGAACCACATTAACTAGACCATAATAGATTTCATCGTAAATGATAGATTTACGGTCGTCAATTATAGATGGACGCCGTAAATTAATCTTAGCTATACTTTATGGTCGTAGATGCATTAACAAAATTTTTGAAGATTATCTAAGATTGACGACCGTAAATGCATTCAAAATAATAAACTATGCACACAAGATTATCGATGGACCTAAAGCGACCAGCACTCAATTAACCAATCATATTGTATTGGTGATTATGTTTAGTGTTAAATAATTGCCAAGAAGGGATTTTTTTAGCGGTTATATTACTCCATTAATAATGAACCTTCTACAGCTGTCAGTTATATGTATATTCCCGTTGCCTTGAACTATTTAGTACATCAGTCACTTGATTTTCATTTCTTTAATTCATGTGGGATTTCATAAAATGATTACAAAAATGGTTGAAATCTTTATTACATATTAATATTTGGTGTAAATTTAAGGTTTATTCCCATTTAAAACGGAAAAAACTATTCTAATGGAAAAGATAGGAGATAATTAATGTATCCATTTAATACAAAAGATCAATACACGCACGCGAAAATTTCAACGGGGCCATAAAACTGTCACATAACTGGATGTTTAAGATGGTTCTTAGCACTGACTTGAACGGAATAAATTGGTAGATGTCGAACATCGTACACCTATGCATTCACGAACGTAGTTGAGGAATAATATCAGTATTATGTCGGTCATGAAATAATTGAATTTTCTTTTATTTTTAGAAGAAGTAGCAAGACATAATAACGAAATGGACTTAAAATGCCATATTGGGATAGGGTACTCGATATATTCAAAATTAGTCCCCATTACAACGAGCGTATCTTCAAAATTAACTGCCTACTAATTTGATTAATCCCACGTTGAAACACAATATTTATATGTTCTGTAAACCACCTCTTTTCATTATGTATCCTTCTTTGCGAATTGAGATACGTATGAACAATAAGAATTGATCTCATACAAATTACTATCACCTATTTTAGCAATACGTTCAAATACAGCCACTGTAAAAAAAAAATGGTCTAGCTAAATAATGTATGCCCCTCTTTAACAAATCATGCAAAAGAGGTGACGAGTGAAATGTGTTTTCATGCTCTTAACATGTTCCCTGGTCTGTTAAAAATGTAAAATATGAAGATAGCCTTGCAATATTCAAATTATTGAAGTGAAAAAGGTACACGTTTTTCATTGTAGGAGCCAAGGACTTTCAGATTTGTTGTCTTTGAACTTTGAACTGTAAACTTCAGCTTTAAGGGTACAATATCGGTCGAGATGAAATAGGACCCGAGTTACAGGATACCAATCCAGTACCTATGAATGAAGTTCCTTAAGAAATCTTCCATCTTTTAAATGGGATATTGTAGAGAGATTACAATTGCAAAATATATGTAATTTGGTCAAATTTATAGTATATCCAAAGGGAATTCATTTAACTCTCAACTTCTATGAAATTTGGAGTATTCTGAAATGTATATTGTAGATGATTGGCTGAGTAAATGGTCCTAATTTCATTTTCTATTTTAAATGCAGGTCATGACCCTTAAATAATTCTCCCAAAAAACCATGACGGGGGCTACAAGTTTCTTAAAGTAATTGAAATTTGACAGTCAAATATAGGGAATAAAAAATCTGTCCTTCAATCATGATAAAATTGCATTGAACTGATGGGAAAAATAATTGGGTCCCCGTTCCACATGCAATATTTCTAACTCATCGGAGATGCTCTACTTTTATGTATATTTACTAATTAAAGGAAAATAATTAAAAATATCGGCCAATATTGCATTTTAATTTTATATAAAAATCACCATGAAATAATTGATACTATATTATAAAGCGAGGTATATTGACTGATCACGTCCTCCGCTTAATCTTTTTGTTAACATACGCATTATGATTTATATATAGTATTTATCAAGTAAACTTCTATATTCCTGGTTGGTTTGGGTCAAAAGTTTGTATGGTAATTAAAAGAGCAGTTATTCCCAATATGTCCGGATATCTGGTAATACATAAATATGTAAAATCAATATTCAATTATAAACTGTAAATACAGATCATTTATTTACTGCAAACGTTTCAAAATCTACGCATACTAAAAATAAAATGATAGACAGAAGGAAACAAAAAGAAATAAAAAGAGTTTAAGTAGAAATCAAGTGCAGTTTTCTAAGATTTGTTGAGAATAAAAACCATTCGGATTTAAGATCTGGACGGTTTTATGTCTTCTGAACTGAGATTATGTAAAGTTATTGATTTTGGCATTAAAACTTCACAGCTAATACACTACTGTCGGTAATGAAAGTTTGTATAGAAGTAATCTATCTTCGTCAACTCAATAAGTCGGTCGAACACTTAAAATCATGGGAGTGCTCTTCGATATTTTCAGTTAGTTGGAGAAATTCCGTCATTCAAATAAGATTACTTTTCTAGAGGTTACTAAATGTATGTCTAAACTAGTGTCTAAGATTATACTTATGATCACTGTCTAACTTTTTAAATATTAGAATGTTGCTATAAATAAAAAATATAATGGAAGTAAAATGAACAGCATTTCAATTGATTATATGTATATATTGATTATTCAATTATTTAAAAAAAAACAAGACTAAACCAAGAATTTATATCTGTGTCAGCGATTGTTAAAATTTGCGATTAGGTTAGTTTTAGGTGAATTATTTCAATAATATTTTGTATGCCGTTGTACTAGAATTGGCACATCTCATTTCCATGGAGAGTATTTTGCCCCGCTCCCTCATTCATGGTCAATTTACTTTGAATAAATTTCAACGTTTGCATTTGACTAAGTTAAACGAAATTACAGACAAGGGAGACATATCTCTGTGTCAACAATTTACAATCAGAACCGATCTGAAAAGACTACGAGAAAAAGTTTCAATCATTTTCAGTCAATTTTCAAAATCTCCTCAGTTAAATAAGAAGTGCGTTTCAGACACAAGGATTGCAGTCAACTGCAGCTGTACTAAACATTTAAAACTGACTTAAAATATGGCTGAATAGATCTTCATTACCTGCATGTGAAAAGGTTTTATGCTATTGAGTTTACAACTAGGCCAGTTTGATCTTGGGGAAAAAGTACCGCAAGTAAATCCCAGTTTTTTTGGTGGATTTTGTGTTGCTCAATTTTTTAGTTTTCTGGACTAGCTTGTCTTTTCGTCTTTTACTTTTGGACATTATGTTTTTGTCTTTCTACGACTAGCGTAAGTTTTTTTTTTTATCTTAACATAAACTAGAGGCTCTCAAGAAAGATATAAGAAGATGTGGTATGAGTGCCAATTAGACAACTCTCCATCCAAGTCAAAATTTATAAAAGTAAACCATTATAGGTTAAAGTACGGTCTTCAACACGGAGCCTTGGCTCACAACGAACAGCAAGCTGCCTGTTTCGCTCACCTGTATCTACTGTGGTTTTGGAAATCATGTAAAATAAGGTTAAACTCATATTGATACCCTAATAATGATTGAGGTCAAGTTTGGTTTAATTTTACCCAGTAGTTAAATTAAAAGCAGATTTTTTAAAAGATTTACAAAAACACTACCAATAAATTGCAGAAAATAACTTTAAAGGACAATAACTCCAATTAGATGTCAATTGTCAATTGGTCATGTTAACTTATTTGTAGATCTTTCTTTGCTTGATATTTTTGCTGTTTACAGTATATCAATCTATAATGATATTCAAGATAATTAACAAAAAATAAAAAAATTCGTTTCCTCCGCTCCAAAATTTATTTTACCCAGGGCCTGTATAATGTTGAAAATGCCTTCCTTTAAATGTATTTATGGAACACCCTTCAAAAAAAATTTGGGCGGGGATTCCCCTGACCCCGACTAACCCGCCGGGTCTGGGGTGGGGGGGGGAGCATTCACCCAATATAAGTATTCTGAAGGAAACGATATAATAATGGTTTATAGAAAAAGTAACACTGAATAATTCTGAAAATGAAACATATCTAGGAGATATTAGCACCCCCCTGAAAAAATTGCACCCCCTGGAAAAAAATCAAGTCATCCCATTGGTGTCTAATAATAGTTACTGAAGACCCCTTATCATTATTTAAATTAGTTTTCAAGTTGTGACCATTTGAATTTTTTTATAGGCTTCTATATGTTCTATTTTTACCAATGGGGAACATGTTGGCTGTAGGGCAGGGTCATCGGATATATTTTTCAATCAAGATACTCAAATAATAATTGTGGCTAAGTTTAATTTCATTTGGCCAAGTAGATTAAGAGGAGAAGATTTTTGTAAAAGATTACAAAAATTTACGAAAAATAGTGAAAAATTGACTTTAAAGGGCAATAACTCCTTAAGGGGTCAATTGAGAATTTTGGTCATGTTGACCTGATGAACATTTTAACCCCGTTAGAGATATAAGCTAAAAACTGCATTTTACCTCTGTGTTCATCTTGGTAGGTGGGCGCGGTCATCGAATATATTTTTTTAAACTAGATACCCTAAGGATGATTTAGGCTAAGTATGGTTTAACTTGGCCCAGTAATTTCAGGAGAAGATTTTTGTAAAAGATTACAAAAATTTACAAAAATTTGTGAAAAATTGACTTTAAAGGGCAATAACTCCTTAAGGGGTCAATTGACAATTTTGGTCATATTTGACTTATTTGTAGATCTTACTTTGCTGAACATTTTTGTTGTTTACAGTTTATCTCTATC